CTATTCCTATTTCAGCTTACTATGCTAACTGTTTTGACTTCGTCTTACTTTCATGTTCACCGGTCGAAACATGCAGTCTAAGCAGGGACAAGAACAAAGAGCGGTCAAAGCGGCCACATGGGGATCTTGAGATTCCCATGTCGATCATCTGCCATACCGAAGGAACGCTTCAGCGCGCTTGTGCAGATCCTGCTACTACCTAGGTAACAGTGGAGCTAACGCACCAAGTGTCCTGACCTCGACTTATTTTCTCATATTGATAGACGTTGATAGACGGTGCTGGAAGCATGCAACCTCTAAAGCAATGGAAGAAGAAACATTCGGATAGTAAGATGTGGATAATGCTATTCCCTTTCCATCTTGCTACATCAGATGCTTCAACTCCGTCTTACTTTCTCCTGTTCACTGATGGAAGCAGACATCCTGTGTACGAAGTAGAGAAGAACGTTCAGTTGTGACAGTGCACATGATGCTATTCCCGTCTTGTCCACAATACCATCTGCCATCTAACCTTGGCAGGAAACGCTACTTTCCACCTGGGAACACTAGCCCGTTATCATGTCTCACCTTCTCCATAACCGCCAACGTATCTCTGCTATGCTGCTCCAACCTCTTCAACGCAGCCTCATCCTTTTCCTCAATACATCTCGCAAACTCCCTCGCCTCCTCCACAAGATTCAACTTCTCAGGCTCCTTCACACCCGGCACATCCTCCCTCGTCTTCTTCTTCGGGTCCCAGAAGGTAATCTTGTTGATATCCGTAATGGTAGGTACGATCAACGTGCCCTTCTCCCCGTAAATCTCAGACGGAGCGTCGGAGTTGTAGATCTTGCTGTGGCAGAGATGGACTGTGAAGGTAGGGTAACTGAGAATGAGACGGCCGCCGCCGTCAGCACCTGTGGCGATCTTGACAGGGAAGTATTGCGATGAGGTTGGCGCGCCGAAGAGGTCAATGGCGGCTGCGACACAGTATACGCCCAAGTCTACAAGCGCACCACCGCCCATCTCCAGGTTGAAGATGTTGGGGACTTCGCCTTGGAGTACCTTTTCGTAGCGGCTGCTGTACTGCGCGAAGGTTATGGATGCGCCGTAGAGCGGGCCTAGGTCAGAGATCTTTGATTTCAAGAGCTTGAAGTTTGCTTCTTGGATGTGGCGGAAGGCTTCCACCAGGACCACCTTCTTCGACTTCGCTAGTGCGAAGAGCTCGTCGAGTTCGGCGACGGTGCTGCACGATGGCTTCTCGAGGATTACATTTTTGCCCGCGTTGAGGAGCTGCTTGGCTTGCTCGTAGTGTAGGATGTTGGGGCTGGCGATGTAGACCGTGTCGATCTTATCTTGGGCAAATGCATTCAGGTCGGTGAATGTGGTGATTTGCTTGTCGGAGTATTTGGATGCGAACTCTTTCGCGGTCTCTTCTTTGCGCGAGTAGACGGCGGAGAGGTTGTATTTGCCTGTTGCGTGTGCAGCTTCCACGAAGGAGTGCGTGATCCAATTGGTTCCGATGATTCCGAGATTGATCATGTTGGCGGTGTTTGTTTGACAGATGATTTGGGTCTTCGTTTTGAGAAGGAGCTGACCTGGTATAAATACGTCGTTCGCGTCGAGGGGCAGTCGCGTTCAACCCCACTAGGAAGCTTCAGCTCCAGCTGCCAGTGTGATGTCATTGGCCGACTGCTCCGACTGCCCAAAGCGGCAGTAGTTGGCAAAACTAGACACTAGGGGCAAAGGTCAACGGATGAGTAAACAGTAGGCTTGATCAAATTGGTATTGTATTGCAGGTTACTAAATGCAGTCATACTATAGGATAGCCTCAGTGCTGTTGCGCAAAACTAGAGTTCCTGAAGAGGGTATCATGCTGCGACCATGTGTCGTGTCGTTGAAATGTATCATACCATATGCGTGAAAGAGAGGTGCATCTTCGTTCCATCCCGGCATCGATCGAAGCCGTGTTGGATGACGATCATAATGAGAAGGAAAAAGTGCAGGACCAACCGTACGCCGAAATCAAACCCCAAAACTCCGTACGCTCAAAGTCGCATACTTGAAAATGCAATGACGCTGACAGTACTGAAAAGGAAGTACTCATGTGTCGTTTATTCAGTCCTCCCATATAGTGTCGAGGTCCAGGTCGACGCGTCGCTCAGCTCCGCAGACACTCCATCTCTTCCGTGAGTCGCGCTTGCCGAAGCCGAGACTGCGCCCACGGCTTTCAGGCACGTCTAGGCTGGACCTCCTGGCATCTCCGCCGTCTTCACGGTCCGCCGCAGCCTTGAGCCGCCGCAGGCGATCAGCCTCTATGGCTTCTTCTTCTGCGTCTGGGCTGTCTTCGATGGTCTCGAGAGACGAGATGGAAGGGCTGCGGGAGCGCATCGAGGTCGGGGTGGATGGCACGGACGAAGAGGCATGGGACATGGGGTAGTTCTCGTTGAACCTGGAAGGTGCGAGGAGCGGTGAGGAAGCAGTGGAGGTGGGCGTGCTGACAGAGGGGGTGCTCGTGGGTGGTGCGCCAAAGGGTACAGTGACCTGATAGAGCGGTGAAGCTGGTCGGCGTCGCCGGGAGAGCGAGCCTGTGCTGCTGTGGAGGCTCGACACGGTGGTGCCAACGCGCGGCGTGAGTTCCAGTTCGGCGTCCTCTGATATGTCGCACACGCTCGGTACACCCTCAAAAGAGCCGATGGAGGCTGGACGAATACCCGAGCCGTACCGCTCCATGGTTCCTACTGAGTGCGGGCGTGGCTCCAGTGCCCGTGGGCTGCGGGTCCGCTTGGGGGAGCGCAGAGGAGAAGCCGGGCGGGCGAGCGGCATCGGGGCAGGCGAGAGCATCAGATTGCCGGAGGGTTGCATGACTGTAGGCAGCGAATGGGCCCGTGTCATAGGCGGCGCATTCGGCAACGCAGACCCGCTCTGAGAGCGGAGGTGAGAGCGCGAGTAGGGCGAGCGGTTCCGTGGCCGGGTGGTGAGGGCTGCCATAGACGTGAGGGTGTCAGGCTGGGGGTCTGTCTGGGAGCGCGGTGTAGAGGGCCGGCGCGAGGTCATGCTGTCGTCGGACGCGTTGCTGAGCTGGCGGGCGAGCGTGTTGCTTTCTCCCATGGCGGCGGCAGAGGGCGGGCTTGAGCGTGAGCAGGATGCGTCTTCTGCAGCGGGCTTTGTAGGAGCCGGTGCCTTCTTCGGGCTCTTGAGAGGTATCGGGCCTGTATGGGCGCTCGCGGTGGGCATGGACTTCAGGCGTTGGACAAGATCGTCGTGCTGCAGATCCTCATTCACACTCAGCGGCGGCGAGAGATTTGAGGCAGTCATGGCGGCGGGCAGCGAGTATACATAGTCTGCGCTCACGCCTAGAGAGTATGGACTGGAGAGGCCGAGGTGGAGCTAGGGAGCGCAGGGGAATAGCGTGGTGCCCGTGTTGCTCTGGGCGGTGGACGCACGCTGGACCTTGCAGCGTTTCAGCCGCCGGAAACTGACTTTGAGCGCGCGCTGACTGGCTGGCGGCGGCCAAGGTGAGCAGCGACAAATAAGAGCGACAGATAGTGTGCGAGGACGACTCTGTTGGAGCCCGGAGAGTCAGAGCAGTGCACGAGGACGGTCACGATGCTGCTGCCCTGCGACGACAGAGGAGGGAGGGGCCGCGACGTTGTTGGTACCTGCCGCCGAGATTGCCGCTATCGATCTGGGGCAGTCGCGACCGCCTCCATAGGCAAGGGCTCCCAACAATGCCGCCACCCTGCCATGCAAACAATACAATGTCCTCTGTTTGCTACACAGCCGCCCCATTGACACTCCCTACACATTAAACTGTCATCACCACGCCCGGCACCGTCGCTCGCCACACCTCTCTCCAGCCGCCATGTTCCCTGATCAGCGCCGGACAGGACTCTAACGGACCCTGAAATTGCCTGCAGCTGACTAGCGCAACGTCTCCACCGCCCAAGACGACAGGCACAATCCAATCACGGCCGGTTCTCGCAAATTAAGACGCTACCCGGGGCCGAATTGGGACCTCGCTGCTAAATGTGGATGCCTCAGGCTTCAATCCACGACGGCGTGGTTATTTATGCCTCTTCCCCACTTAATCTCTCGCCCACGCCCGTGTATTGCTTGCATTAACTTCACCACCATTGTCCATGCTGCGCAGGGGTTTGATTATCGATAATGAATGCGCGATCTTAACGCTATCGATAAGCCGCCTCTCTGGCCGTACTCTGACCTTTCCCTTGCATATGGAAAAACCTCTGTAACGACAGTGGACTCTCGAAGGAAACAGGAGCCATAAACACACACTGACTCGCTACCTGGGTTCTGATGAGACAAACTGATGCTCTTAGCCGAGGCTCTCTCCTATCCGAATTTACAGTTTGGCAACCAGGAGATGAGGTGTCTAACAGAATGCGCAGGCGATAGCTGCCACAGGCGGAAGCCAACAATTCCCACCACGCAGTCCGCAATGATCCCGCTAGCCGACCGACAGAACGCACCACAATTCGAGTCACATTGCGTACTCCACGAAAGCATGCTTTGAATCGCAGCGAGCTCGGGGTGTCCTTCCGGTTCGACCGTCAGCAATATCTTGCCCGTCTGGGGATAAGCTTAGACAAGATACTTGAACTCGTAGTCTTGTAGAACGCAACCTTCATCCATCTGATCTCAGTTGCCTCGATGACAGGGTCCCGTCTTGGTTGTCTTGGATCGCTCCACGGCCTTGGTCAACGCACCCGTGACGACAGATGAGAAAGGCTGCACGTTGTCTGGATTGCCGAATGTGAATACAAAAGAGATGCTGCAGTCATTTCCGATCGTGTGAGCCTCGGGCTTGTACAAATTGATGACGATGTTGAATGATTCATCAGTAGGCAGCTGGAAGTTGGAGAAATTATTGCGGGCCGTGCTGTGGTTGTACGGAGACGCGCTCAGATCGCTGAGGGAGCAATTTGTGACGATGGCCCGTAGGACGGCCCAAACGATGAGGAGTCACCCGTGACTTCCTCAATTCAACGACACAAACGATGCCAAACAGTCGCTTCAAGGGAGGAAATCAGAGGGCGAACGTGGGGCAACTCGCTCACCGTTGCGAACACGACACTATAAAGCCTATCACGATCATCCTCATCACAAAGGGTTAGTTGTACCGCTAAAGAAGTCTGACAATGAGCGAAGTGATGCCTTCACGTCCTGTTGACAGAAGTTACAAGGTGGAATTCAGTGGTATAACTATCGCCCGACGTGCTAATGCAGTGCAGCACGCTATCGCCATTCTTCACAGCCGACGACGCCCAGTGAGACCGAGTATCAGTGCTGCAAGCGAACCACCGAATACTGGCCGTGTCACTGATGGGAAAGGGAAATCTGAACTGAAGGGTACACCGAGTATAGTCGGAATGAAACAATGGCTACAGCAGATCGGTCACTCGGTATGTCTCGTAAGCAGTCTCTGGAGCTGTACTGACAAAGAAAGACTGCCGAAATTGACGACCTCAACATCATTCACGTCACCGGCACCAAGGGCAAAGGCAGCACCTGCGCATTCATCGAATCTTTTCTCCGGGCTTACGGAGAAAGAACCGGATGGCCAGCCAAGACAGGTCTATACACTTCACCACATCTCATCTACCCTGAGGAGAGGATTCGTATCAACTTCAAACCCATCAAGAGAGACCTCTTCGCAATGTACTTCTTTGAAGTGTGGGGTATCCTGTCTCAAGAGCCTGGAAGGTTACCTCGCTATCTCCAGCTCCTCGCCTTAGTATCGTTCCACGCGTTCATCAAAGAAGGCGTAGAGGCAGCAGTATTCGAGACTCACCACGGAGGCGAATATGATGCTACGAACGTGATAGAACATCCTGTCGCAACCGTGATAACCGCCCTTGGCATGGACCACGTCCAGCAGTTAGGACCCACTATCGAAGACATCGCCTGGCATAAATCAGGAATCTTCAAGCGCGGGGCCTATGCTTTCTCGTCCCCCCAGGAACCCTCCGCTGCTGATATTCTCCGGAATCGCGCATCGGAGAAAGGCATCAACATCCACTCTATCGGAAACGATCCGGACCTTCCAATAGACATGCCGCAGTTGAAGCCAGATGTTCAGCGTACGAATTGTTCGGTTGCGCTTGCTGCTGTACGCTGTTTTCTCGGATATAGAGCTCCCAAAGACCTTCCGTTATTATCAGATGTGGATGTTTCGCAGGCTATAAGCCAATTCTCATGGCCTGGGCGCTTTCAAATCATTGTCGATGGGGTATTAAGCTGGTTTCTGGACGGTGCGCACAACGAGATGAGCGTTAGCAAAGCAGCGGAATGGTTCATCGAGAACTCCCAGGGAGAGAAGTGCGTGACCAGCCGGGCCACATATCCCCGCTAATCACTGACGCTATTAGTGCATCTCCCGTACGCATCTTGGTCTTCAGCCAAACATCGAAACAAAGAGATGCGAAACTAGTCCTCGAACGACTGGCCGCTGCCCTCAGCCCTATTCACATCGATCATGTCATCTTCACTCTTTACGATCCACAGCAGGACTTGGACTCTCCAGCAGGTAAATTCCTCTTTGTGCTTATAAAGCTCGCCCGCTAACTGCGACACAGCTGTGGTTGATGAGTCGGAAGATGCTTTGCAACAGGCGTTCGGCGAGATATGGTCGAGATACCACCAGGATAGCCGCATAGTTTACGAACTAAGCGTAGAGAAGGCTTTGGATGCTGCTAGAGAGCTAGGGACGGAAGCTGGTGGCATGCAGACTCTCATCACTGGAAGCCAACATCTAGTCGGTAGCGCACTATTCTCGATAAACAGATGTGCGTCAACGAGAGACCGTCAATCCTCTCAACGCTCACCGTAATCGGGCGAACAGTGCACTGAAACAATTTGGAACGGAACCAGGTATTGCTAGGAATTCGCTCTCTTAACATTGACAAAAGGCTCTACAGCTACTAAGCTGCGAGAAACTAGCGAGCAATCCTACAAATGAGTCTTACCGCTAGCTACAGAAGATACCACAACCATGTACACCCACTTTCATCCTCATACGGCTCATAGCCTACCACTAGAAGTGGTTAGGACCAAGCGGAACACCCAAAGCGTTCAGAAGAACCATGACAAGCGAAATACCAAGCTTTCCAGGCGAGCCAGCATCCAGAAGATCCAAGAACTCGTTGCGGATGCTGCAGCCCGAGATGGGAACACCGTTGAACCTGTCGGTGAGGTAGTTGAGGACATCACCGGTGCTAGTGGCAGCCTGGGTGAAGTGCTCGCCGAAAGAGTCTCGGACGTATGTGATGGAAACGCCCGCCTTGCAGAACTGGTCTACGAGCGCATCAGTGTCAGCGATTGGCGAGATCTCATCCTTCACGGCCTTGTATACGAAGATCGGCATGGATGGAGTGCCGTGAAGACCCATGGTCGCTCCAGTCCTGATGGTGTTTTCCGCGATAGGGTCTGTGAAGATTTGTAAGTCAGTGTCATCGTCAGGATTAATGTTTCTCACGGGGGGTACATACCATCGAAGATCGCCTGTCCTTGCTTGAAGTACGTGAAGATATCCTGTCCCGCGTACGTCTTCACGTCGGCGTAGAAGCACTGGCGACCAGCTTGGTTGAAAGCATCAGCCTTCTCTGGCTTGAGGCTGTCTTGGACATACTTTCCGAAATCAGGATACGCGTTTCCCAAGCCCAAGAAGCCGGCAGCACTGAGACCAGCGAAGAGTCCCTTGTTGATGGTGTTGAACACATTTTCGACATTGGGAGTTACACCGCCGATGGCCATGCCAACAAAGGGGATCTCTGGGGCGTAGTTGGCTTGGAGTTCGGCGGCCCATTCGGAAGCCAAAGCGCCTCCACTATATCCCCACATCTGGACCTTTGCAGAAGAGTCGACGCCGGTGGTGGCGCCGGAAGCGAGCGCCGCACGAATGCCATCGAGAGTCGCGTAGCCTGCTTGAAATCCAGCGACGAAAGTGGACTTGGGTCCCTCCCAATCTGGCGAGTTGACAATCCAGCCTTGGTTGAGCGAGGCAGCAATGAGGGCGGCTTCAATGCCTCCGGTTCCGGCATATGTGGTGTTGGACTTGGTTTGAAGAGTGTAAGACGGTGCGCAGTTGATCTCACCACCGCTGTCTTCAGCGACCTGGTACGAGAGCAGCTTCTTTGAATCCGCGTTCTTTGGCACCATCACCGTAGTGACTGTGGCCACCGGGTTTCCGAGCGAGTCAGTGGTCCTGTAGAGCAGTTGCCAGGCACCCTTCAAGTTGAGAGGAATGGTTTGAAACAGCGAGAGGGCGCTGGGTACTGGTCGGCTTCTCAAGATAGCACCAGGTTTTGCAGACTCGAAGCCAGCAGGCGGTGTATAGAATGGATCATCAGAGGGAGGGATGGGAGCGCTGCCTCCAGCTCCAAGGAGTGAACCAAGTAGACCAGGTCTGGGAGCGGCAGCAGTGAGTCCGACGAGCGCAAAAAGCGCGGCCTTGATGGCAGAAGTCCTCATGTTGGAGTGAATGGGATGCGATGCGTGAGAGAATGTGATGATAGCGATGTCTTAATGTGCGCAAGAACATTCCCCTTATATGTCCATCTCTCCCCTTCCTGTTCAAACACCTAAACAACAACCTCTGGCCTTAGGTGTCAAATTCCGTTCATGTCGTCACATGAGCATCTCGAAAGCTACACGAGCATGGTCGACTAACGACTGGCCGATTGGTTGCCTTCTATTTAAGAGCCCGACTAAAGGCATGCCGATTGGTCGTGACGGCCAAGTTCTACCATCGGACAGGTACGGCCATTCATACGCAAGCTCGGAGCCTCGGTGTCGAATTTAGCGCCCGCTGCGTCGGGACCTGTAGACGAATGCGAAAGCTTATTTTGATTGTCAGGAACCACGAAAGCTCCACTCTCGACTGCGTTCCTCTCTGGAAAGAAGACCGTGAGTGGGTCTGGCCTGTTCGATCCTTGGAAACATCCATGAATTCCGGCGAGAACGTCGGAAATACCAAGATACTAGCCAGAGCTTATGTCCGCCACCAATCGGTTGACAGCATGGGCAACGACATGTGAAATCGTGACTACGAAAGTCGAAAGATTTGACATGGAATCTGGGGAAGATCCCCACGGGGAACACGCTACCCCTGGGAAAAGATGGAGACGGTGGTGTTGAGCGGGGTATGTGGTACCAAGATGTTTGACCAGCACGTCTTTCGAAGAACTAATGTGTTCAAAATCATACCATGCCCATATTACTCCGCAGCTCTTTGCGTCATTTGAGCAATCTAGCCCGACCTGAACGCCTATTCAAGAGCCACTCCGGAGAAATGCGAGAGAAACCATGTCGTGCCAATACTTCTCCGCAATCTTGTGCATCATTTCAGCCATCTAGCCTGACCAGAACGACCCGACCTTCTTTTTCTCCTTTTGTCCGCTCTCGTTGTTTCTCCAGAGTGAGAAGTACGAACGTCACGTGGCATGGTTCAATGATCAGTCTCCTGCCCGCGCTGGGTTTGCATATTCTGAGAACCCCTAAAGGCTAGGTAGACCTCATCAATCGCCACGCAGAAAATGCTGAAGTGTCTTCTCCAGGGGCGCCACCACCCCTTCAAAGACTGCCTGTTGGAAAGCCTCATCGTCAAGACTGGATTCTTTTCGATTGAAATCGCATCGAATACATCGCCTGACCGCTTCCACGTAATGTGTGGGAGCATTGAACTCGATATCTTCATCAAGTAGTCTTTCAGCCGTGCACCACGTGACACCTGGCGTACCTGCGCAATCTTGGTCTTGGGGAATTTGCAGCTCTTCGATTGGGTTGCCATAGATAAGCTCGATGAGCACTAGACCGAGCGTGTAAAGTGTCTGGTTTCGTATGACTTTTGCGACTGCTCGTTGGGTGTCATGTGGCTGGATCGTGCATGCCGATGACAAATTGCGATAAACGAACGGATGATCGTAGAGTGCAGACAATGGTACACCTGGACGATGAATAAAATATACGTCGTTGTCACTCCAGTGCTCATCCAGCCACGGTGTCCTGTAGAGTTGGAGTACACTCGACGCCAAGTCTACTGCAATTCGAAGCTTATCCTGGAGTCTCAGTGGCCGCCCGATATTTGTGTGCTTGGTAAGCACTTGCCGCAATGAGTACGCTACCCATTTTTGCTGATCAGAGCCGCTTGACGCCTCCAGTGGATAGATTCCGTGTTTTCGCTTGTCATCGTCGATCAAGTAGCCAATACATAGGTCGTGTTTTGCATCGCCAAGCGCTCCGACTGCTTTACACAAGTCTTCTATATGCGTTGGTGTGGAACTCATACCAGATGTACTTGAGTTTTCGACAAGCGTGATGGTGCTGCTGCTGCTCGATCGAGACTCAGTCTGCATGAATCTGACCGTTTTCGGGAGCTTGGGCGAAGTGAGAGCTCTATGCATGTATGGCGGGGGTGGCTTTTTGTCGGGCTGGTCGGCGATGTACCGGATGTCCGCTTCAGTCCATTTCCAATAGTTGCATGATATTGGTTGCGGTGACGCCGTCACAGTTTCGTTTGTGAATACCACACGAAATGGCGTATGATCCAGCGCATCATCTCCTTGCTGCAGTTTCTGATTTCGACTTTCCAATCGCAATTTGACTGCATGACCGCTGCAACCGCATCGCAGACCCGACTTTAGAGTTTCGTACAAGGAGCGTGCATACTCTTGTAAGACACGAAAGTTGGGACACTGGTTTGATTTGGATTTCGTGCGCGACGGTTCCAGTTCGAGAGACTGCTTGGTGAGGCTGGACAGATACTGGTTGTGCGTTGTCAGATCGTTGAGTTGTTCTGTGTATTCCGATTTGCTAAGCCCAAACTTCAGTCTGTTGAACTCTTTCTTAAACAGCTTGAGGTCTGAGAAAGGAGGCTAATCCAAGTCAGTTCGTGTTCTTCGTGAATAGCATATTGCTGAGGCGGACTGACGACTGGGCCAGTAAACAAACGGCGAAGAAGTGGATCAAGTCGGTCCGGACGCATTTGCTTTGTAGTCTGTGCGTCGACAAGAACGCAATGCCACAGTCGCCGCACTAGGTATGAGAAAAGAGGAATAATGACTTACCTTGCCGTCAGGTGCCAGCGCTAGTTTGTCCATAATCTTTTGTAGCGCTCCTGCCATGCCCTGCACATTGGCCAAGTACACCTCATACGCGCCGCGTAACCTATCTTTCAAACACTGTTCGATGAACTCGTCTTGCCACTCTTCACCGCCTACATTCGCCAACATTCCTGCCATTCTATCAATCCTGACGATTCCTGTAAGGAGATGCTCAAGGGTGTTGACAAATGTGGCCTTCTCCGAGTTGATTCGAAGTAACAAGAATCTCACTTCGGATTTGAAGTGCCAGAATCGTTTGGCTGTGCTGACACCCTGCGCATAGTGCTCCAAAGCTGAGATAATAAGCGGCAACGCTCCAAGCACAATGCCAGCGACCTCGAGGCCCGACATTGTGGTGAGCAAGGAACTCGCGCGATAAGTCTAAGAGAAGCGAAAAGGTTTGTGAAGCTGCTCAACTGTTTCTTGCTGATCCAGATCGATGTTGTCATTAACAGTGGAGGTCAGCTGTGCCGGTCCAAGGCTGCGCTGCACATGGGTGCCCGCAAACGTGGCCCCCACTTCCACGTTCGTCATGCAGCAACATTATCCGGAAGCTCTCAGGCTGGACGCTTCTCAACGGAAACTATCGACTCTCTCATGATTTTCCTCTGCGCGTTATATCAAATCTATTCAGGACCGCTCTGATGCCTGACTTTTGATCTTTCGAGTACCGCGAAACATCCGCGGAACGTCACCCGCAGGGACCACACCCCACAGAGACCTTCGACGATCACAGTTGGCTGGTAGCAACTCCACACACTTCCGAACGATCATCCGGTTGTATGTCCTGGAATAGCCCTCGACTTATCCTTGACAATCGAGCATACGTGGAGTATCGCATCAGGTCGAAGCATCGAACATGGCGACCCAAGCAGCTGAAGTGCTCGTCGCAGCGGCATCTTCCCGTGAGGAAGTCACGAAACCCGACGATCTTTCTTTGGTAGCACTCAATGTCCACTACTGCCTAAGGGACTTCCAAGCAGTGTGCAACAAGCTTTCAAGCGCCCAATCAAGCATAAAGGCCAAGCTCCCGCTAGCTACCCTGAAAGATATCTTTGGTGGATTCAGGCTATGGTCGTCGAATGTAGGTGCGCATCGTACGGGAAGAGGCTCTCTCGGCTACAAGCTTCGTGAAGCATCTCACATACGTGACCAAGTTATTCAGCTTGTCCAGGGTATGAAGGCTGTCCTGAACGAGGTGTTGGAGATAGTGACGGGCCAGCGACCATCCTGGGAAGATATGTCTGATTCGGAGTCAGATACGGAGGAAGATAGTGCCAATGGCCTTCAAAAGCCGGATACAACGGAGCTTGCCCAACTTGCAGCTGAACTGAAAGAGACGAATGCCTGCCTCATGCGGCTGTCAGTCGCCATTCGAAATCCAGCTCCGCATGATCAATTCAAAGAATCCGCGCACATAGATACGGCTTATTACGAACCGTTCGACATCGCTCATGTCCGTGGAAAATTTCCCAAGGCGCCAGAGTATCTCACGGCCCGGCTAGGCAAAGCCATCTCGCGTCGCCGACAATACCTACGTTACCGCGATGATCACTCGAAGAAGTACAAGCAAGGCCTAACAAGAAGAGGCACGCTTCCAGACATGGGAGCGCATCGTGAAGTGGAGAGTACAGTAGCATCTTCCTTGCCACCAGCTGTGAAGGCTAGCGTCAATATTGCCGATCTTGAAGAGGAAGACGAATACGATGAAACGCAGTCTGTCACTTCTTATGCATCCTCCGGTCATGATCCGGAGAAGTTACGTCCACCGCCCTTGCCGATGGAAGGCCGTGGCGGCGAGCCTTTCGTATGCAAACTATGCTTCCGCTACACTGCAGTTCGACATGTCAAAGCCTGGCAGAAGCATGTCTACCGAGACCTGCAACCATATGTGAGTTGCTCATGACGTTCCAGTGTGACCGACTAATAACCCGCAGTTATGCACCGTGGAAGATTGTGAAATGCCCGACCGGACATACGAATCAAGACACGAGTGGTTCCGTCATGAAACTCAGATGCATCGAAAATGGTGGCAGTGCGTCGATGGTTGCGATAAGCCGTTCCAGTCTTCTTCTAGTCTCCGGGAACACATCGCGCATGAGCATCCGTCGCTTGCAACTGGAGATCGTGTTGGACAACTCGTTCGTAGCTGTGAGAGGCACCGTAGTATGACTGCCAAGGCAACCTGTGTGCTGTGTCTGGCTGAAGTCTCTTCGTTGACGATGTTGCGGCGTCACGTGGGCAAACACCTGGAAGAACTGTCGCTGTTTGCGGTGCCTGCACACGTCAGCGAAGACCAAGAGGATAACGAAGATCCGGAGAATAGTGATGAAGGAGGAGAGGCAGGTGGCAGTCAAGGGTCGCTCACAGACTCATCAACGAGCTCACCGGCGCTGAGTATCATTGAGTGTGGGGTTGATGGTTGTGAGGCGACGTATAAAGGCTTGGGAAAAGCGCAATTTTTGGGCTTGCATCGTGCGCGCGAACACTACGGTCCGGTTTCGTTCTGTTGTGAAGACCATCTACGACAGTATATCAAGTCCGCTCTATGAGTGTGGCTCGAAGTGGTACCTAGACGTAGCATCAATGAGAAGATCGCGCACTCCAATAGCATAAAGGAATATATAGATGAGTATTTCAGATTTGGCAGAGTCGATGCCGACTTGCGCTCGGCATTTCATTCTCGGTCTACGTACAGAGACCATGGGCGTATTCCATCCCAGGCCCCTGCCATCTTGTCGCTACGTAAACCTTCCAGTATTGCGAAACCAGTTTCCAACTCTTGCATTCTCTCTTGCGCATATAGCGATCGCATAGATCAGTCTAGATCTGGAGGCGCTCGACCTTGTCCTTGAGGGTGCGGATCTGGCCCATGAGGTCGGAAGCCTCGTTGGTCGTGATGCTAGCTGCGATGACGGGCCTGGCGACACCGCAGGCGCGGCCGAGAGCCATCTTGGAGGGGACGTAGACGTAGGGAACGTTCTTGTCCTCGCAGAGAAGAGGCAAGTGGAGGAGGATAGCGAGCGGGGAGGTGTCGGCCGCGAGGATGATCAACTCGCTGATACCACGGTTGAGGGTCTTCGTGGCCTCGTTGGCGCCCTTCTTAAGTTGGCCTATGCGAAATCAGTATTTGTCTCGCATGGAGTTCGCACAGCAACTTACGGTAGTGGGTAGCCTGTTGGACGAGGTCAAGGATCTCCTGGGAGAGAGCCTGGTCGGCTTGGGGCCAGGCGGCGCTGTTATCTTCGGCCATTTTGTTGGAGGTTGAGATGCGATGGGGTGGATGGTAGGGTTCACTGCTAAAGCTCGTCCGAAGGAGGATTCCTATAGGGTGTTAGTATGCGACGAGAGTGTAGGTATGCGACCGAAGCTCGTGTGAACGATAACAGTGTCGGTAGGCGACGAGTGTCAAATTCGAGACAGAGAGAGAGATAGCTATGCGACTTACACTGCTTGCTCGCCCGGGTTGAATTGTGGTGAAGGTTGTGGTAATTTGGAAGCTTGGGAAAATCAAAAAGTTCGTAGAGCTGCTAGGATTATTACTTGGCACACCTCACGTGTGGCGCTAGTGACGAACTAGGTATAGGGCAAAACCGAGCGACGTCCAGCTCTTCGCCAACCATCGTCACCACTCCTCGACATCACATCCGCCCCCGTCGCCGCATCCACGACTCCCGTCCATCTCAATAAAGATCTCGACACCCTTCTAGACGTCTCGTCGAATACATACATCACCGCAAAGATGGTCTCCGAACTTTGGTGAGTGAACACGGAGCTCCCTTGTTGAGCATGCAGATAGCTCCAGCTTGCCTCTCTGGAGATAAGCTGGGCATGCGACTGTTACATGAGCATCGGAGGAGCTTCTTCGTCATCACCTTATACGTACAATAGCTAACATAATGGATGCAGCCCCGTCTATGCTGTAAGTCCTCGGACCAACCTCCGCTTCGCCTCCCGACGCGACAGCACCGCGTCGACCCGTCCATCGTCATAGCTAATGAACAACTAGCCCTTCTTCGGCGCGATGGGCTGCACGTCAGCTATCGTGTTCGCCTGCTTTGGCGCGGCCTACGGAACCGCGAAGGCCGGTGTTGGTGTGTCAGCCATGGGTGTCCTCCGCCCTGACCTGATCGTCAAGAGTACGTGATGAACCGCTCGCCAGGTGTCGCAATGTCCAGCACGCAGCTAACACACTTCAGACATTATCCCCGTTGTCATGGCGGGTATTATTGGTATCTACGGTCTCGTCGTGTCCGTCCTGATTTCCAACGGTCTCTCGCAAGAGTCTTCGCTCTTCGCCAACTTCATCCAGCTCGGTGCCGGTCTCGCCGTCGGTCTGTCCGGTATGGCCGCTGGTTTCGCCATCGGTATTGTCGGTGATGCTGGTGTACGAGGAACTGCCCAACAGCCCAGGTTGTTCGTCGGAATGATCTTGATTCTCATTTTCGCCGAAGTTCTGGGTACGTCGCTCGAAACTCAACAAGAAGCTCGCACTAACATATGCCAGGTCTTTACGGACTCATTGTTGCCCTGCTCATGAACTCCAAGGCTAGCGACGCTCACTGCTAGACGATTACGCACGTTCGATTGCAGATACGACAATACAAAACTGCAACACTCAAGCAACGGCATCGATACGCAAAGTCGTTCAGCAATCTACGCATATGACGCGCAATACCCACATGCGCGGCATGTCTCACGTCTCCATGTATTATTCGAACGGACGGACAACGAGGGCTTCGAAGTTGGGAAGCGAGGTGGTAAATAATGGCATCGGTCGAGGTGCACTTGCGATCCATTTGACGGCGTGTATTTTAGGGTCTCATCAATTTCATTCTGCGCTTGTAAACGAAATGCATTGGTTTCATTTAGACAATCTGCGCCCTGATCTTGTTGATGCCTGGACTGACGTGAGATAGCCGTGCGCAAGCTACCAAGTGACGCGACTGCGACCCTATGCCACTCTCAGGGCTGTAGAACGACCTTCGGATCATCGCGACCATACGGACGTCCTGGCGTCCCTGCTAGTTCTGCTGGCTCCCTACATCCCATCTCTACGGCTGCATTCCCACCATACAGTTCGCTGGGCGCCACCGAAGGATAATGTTGCGCTTCCAAGTTCTTCTCGTCGATAGTGCTTTGTGGCAGCTCCACGGTAGCAGCCTGCTCCCGGCGTCTTTTCCTCTTCAGCTTCCATGCTAATAGAGTAACGAGTACTATCAATATAGCTATCGATCCTGCACCGACGCCGATTCCTGCGCGCGCACCAACACTGAGCGCTTGCGGCGTGGTCGAATTGTCTGATCTTGAGGAGGCTGGATCTGCGCTGTTGCTTGGTGATGAGTGTGGGACGGGTGTCGATGCGCTCGCGTTCGATGATGCTGAAGCGTCTGATGTTGGCGCAGATGTTGCGGATGTCAATATCGATGACGAAGTCGAAGATGCAGTCTCGCCCACGGTCGCTGCCAGGGTAAACCGCTTCGTTTCATCACTACAGCAGCTCGGATTCCCACAGCACCAACTATTCTCCCCACACTTCCTCACTGGCGCGTTCTCGTCCTGCCACTACAGTCCATCAGCACCATCAACCACGGTCCAGCATAGACTACTCCACTCACCGTACTATTATTACAAACACTCCCTAAGCACTCAGCACTCTGCCACGTCGGATCCGTACACCCATTTCGCCACCATAACTTCACGTTCGCGTTCGTCCCATCGAAAGCTTCGTAGTTCTGACATAGGCCGTTGCTTTCACATACATCGTCGGCGACGTTTGTTTGGCCCGCGCCTTGGTGGTTGGTGCCGCAGCAGAACGAATCGCGGTCAGGGTCGCTGAGGCAGGGTTGGTAGGATATGTCGGTGATTGGGCTACCGTCGCGGTTGTAGCAGGTGCGGTTTGTGGATGCCATGGGGGTTCGCGGATGGTGTTTAGGTTTGTTTTGACGAGAAGAGAAGAGGCGGATGACGAGAAGAAAGGACGGAAGTGGTCGCAATAATGTGTATTCTTCATCCTTGCTGTGTTATGATGTATTCGTTGCTCTGCAAGGGGCTCAATTTCACGACTTGCCCTCTCACGGGAGCGCAGCCACTGTGCATAACCGCCGGAAGTTTGGTCTCAGCATATGCGGCTCGCCATTGGATTGTTCGTCTGATCTTCAATTCTGTTTCCCTCCCATGCTCTCACGTTCCTGCTATGCGGCGTAGTGCTTGCTTGAAGTCCATGGGGCTCTTTTCATACTGAGATCTGCATTTTGGTATCCGGGTGATCAAGCAAAGACTGGATCGTTAAGAAGCAAGATACAAGGCTTTGGTTACCCCAGCCATACTATTATCTTCTCGCGTCGCACTGTTCCTGCATCGATCCAAGTCCAATAGAGTGCGCCCGCAGACGGTTGGGGCGGAAACCAAGAGCAGACTAGCGTGATTGACCAACATCACGAAGGGCTCCTCCTTGCTTTGCGCAGATCATCAACACACCATGATGTATTAACAGCAATGCGCCTACCAATCGATTTGTTGAGTGATGATGAATTAGGAGACTTCGAGTGCTGCTTGCGTCGTAGATGACCTTATGACGCTGGATCGGGCTAGCTCCTTGGCGATCTTGTCTCCATCCCGCAGCTGCAGGAGTGTCCTCGCTATAACCATCGCCTTTTATCCCAGTACGACTCACCCACACCGTCGCGCGCCCGCATGCAACGACACTCGCTCTAGAAGACATCGACTGGACAAGAATCACACGCGGAGCAAGGGCATCACACGATGGACGTCAAATTCGTTGAGTATTAACAGCCATAAGAAGAAGACAGACTCCGCAAGCACCAGTAACAGTGGCTGGCCCGTGCCGCACATTTCACAAGGCCAGATTCGCTCGTTGTCGACACTCAGAGGCCTGTAGCTTGGAGCCCATACTCTAGCTCGGGGTACTCCTTCTTCAGATACCGGACCATTTCATCATCGTGATACTTCCAATTCGATCCTTCGGGCGGTACAAACCCTTCAATCAGCGCCATTCGTGGTGACTCAAGGCCCAGATGCAGACCGGCGAATATCTGGCCCAGTCGCTGAGGTTGTTGAGCTGTCGGTAGGCGATGTAAAGACACTATCGTAAGATTTCTGAAAAAGATATCGAGCTGATAGGCGATGCCACGAGGAAGGATATAGTGGTGTTTTAGTGAGGGCGCGCTGACGACAGAGACATCGACGTAGTAGTGGCTGAACAAGCCGCGGTCCAACGCGCCGTACATGGTTAGCCTGAACGTAGCAGACTCGACCAGGTAATTGGGATATGGCGGTACGGAACGTAGTCCAGAAGTGTTGAGTGCGATGACCCAGCTACTGGTATCTCCGACACGACGCTGGGAGAGCAGGGTGTTCCTTTCTTTCTCATCTAAGGCGTCTTGACGTTTCAGAGGGAACACGTCGAGGCCTAACGATTCTGTGTCGACCCATTCGGAAGTGGTCATTTTTGTAGGGTGTCGTAAAAGATAACCCCTCTTGTCTATGAATGTCTCATGTGGAAAGACAGAATAGGCGCGATTCCAGGTGATAAGGTTGCTCAGAGAGGTCGATGAGGGCAGTAGCGCTTCGAGAACCGGAGTCATCGCTGTTTCCACGATGTTGACTTCGCTACACTTTCCATCGGAATTGACTCGACTCATTGTTATTCGAAGCTTCTGGGAGGGGTTAGCGAGACACGCGTGGAACATACGAATTAGCTGAGCTCATTCGAACTTACTGAAAGCTCTTTGTCCTCGGGCGTGGGAGTATCGAGACGTTCATAACCATCTTTTTCAAGGAAGGTGCGTAATGCATCAGCATTGGGTCCTTTCTGAACAAGGAGGCTATAAAGCCCATGTTTTCCGCCAGTCTTCACGACCGGCTTTCTCGCCATGAACTCGTACGCGAAATTTCCTCCTATGAGGATATTATTTCGGGCTTGAAGAGCGCGGAACTCGACAGGAGAAGTGACGAAATGCTTCAACCGGTCGTTGATGTTGAATTGAGTGCGCTCCACCAGCTTAACCAAGTCCATGAACGGCTTTGTGGTCTTCCTGAGCGAAACAATATCGGCCATGTCGAGTTGCGCGAGTATGGCATCCTGAACTGGAGCATATCGAGTCAATAAATCCACGATCGGAGGTGTTCTCTTCGGTTGCCACCATAACTTAACTAGCTTAAACAGACTCTTATCTCTTAGAGATACGACAGCCAGGGAAAAGATGAAGATAATCATGGGAGTCAAACAAGAAATGAAGGAGAACATGTTGGCGACTTTCGACGTTGAGTTGCTCGTGGAGGAAGGTTGAGCGACAATTGGGGTAGAGTGTATATTGAGATGATCAGGGGCTTCTATACACAGGAAAGGAGTCTGAGCAGGAGCTGTGGCCTACCAGGCGCAACAGTCTTGCCACTATATTCACTACGCAGCTCATACCTCCGATTCGAGAACCATCAATCCAAGAACAAGAGTGAAGGAGGGCGCTAACCGAGTATACAATGACGCGTTTTACCTTGAGCGACATCGCTACCAAGACAAACGCGATACTCCATCTACATGACCAAAGGCAAACGCAAACTGCGTCAAAGACGTCACAAGTACACTCTCCCCTCATCTTCTCTCACCAAACACGAAGTCACGCTGGAAAGCAAGCGTCTCTCACCTCGGGATTAGCTCCAACCACAGGGTATAAAGTCGTCTCCCTCCGCGCCGTCCCTCCTCCTTTCTCTTCCTATCAACATAGACATTGAGGCAACTTCGGCAATATCCAGACTCTACTATATCTGATTCACTTCGTTCAATTCGAACCGACTTCTATATATCCTTTCCAACCTTAACTTACCAATTTCAACATCAACATCAACACCATGTCCAGTCCTCCAGGAAACCAGCCTTCCAGGCGCGGCGGTGCTTCCTCATCTGGTAGTCCATACAACGCTCCTCGCCACGGTCGAATCCCCTCCCGCACTGGAATCGAGCCCCTGTCCCCGCCTCAAGCCCAGCAGCCTTCTATGCCCAATCACCGCGCTCCACCAACAGTCCACCATCTCCGGGAAGATGAGCCAAACCCCCTCCAACGCTGGAACGGCTCTTCTGTAAGCCCCTTCATGCGCTGGGCCTACGCAGTCACCGATGCGCGAGGTGCCGTTCGCCCAAATTACAACTACGATCCGGACATGAACAACGCGATCTACCTCAGCGAGACCATTGTGAGCACATTTCTACTTCCTCTCCACCCGCACCCACACCTCCAGAGTACCATATACTAACACCACCCCACAGGACGACTTCGACCGCAACCCTTCCCTCGTCCACGAACTCGTCCTCCGCATCGCGAACCCAGACCTCGGCCACCCCTCCATGGATTGGATTCGCGCCAACCGCTCTCTCGTCGACATTCTCCTCTACCGCCACTACCAGCGCTACGGCGGTCTGATGTTACCTCCGACGGCGGCAGCACTCCAGGCCATGCAGCAGCACGAGGCCGCCATCGCTTCCGCTAGAGCCGCTGGTGTGCATCCAGACAACTATCCACACATCATGTTTCCGGCTTTTGGACCGCCGCCGCCGGGTGAGGGCGAGGTGGGCTCGCCTGGAGGGAAGGGTAAGGGGAAGATGACGCCGGGGAAGCCGTCTGGATCGCCTCCGGGTAAGGGCAACCCGTTTGGTAGTATTGGAGATAGGGGTGGGTTTGGACGTGGAGGCGCGAGTGGTGGTGGGGTTTACTACTGAGTAAGTTGTACATCTCCTGGTTGTAGTATGGTGTGTCTGTTGAGGTTCTCGAAGACCTTTGTGACCTCCTGGCTGCAGTATAGTGCTGCTTTGGAGGATCACAAAGAGTTCGAGAACCTCCTGGCTGCTTGATACTGGAACTGTTTGGACGATTTTGATGCAGCCTAGCTAACCTCGAGTAGTTCACCCGAGATTGAGATGGTGGGAAGAAAGACATATAACTTACTACTACGGATACGACTTGAGACGGCTTATTGCTGAGAAGTTATAGTGTGAGATGACTACATGGATTGAAATGAGATGGTTACATACATAGACACAGAGATTGAAAGATGGATATTAGAATATCATTCATATCATTACTATCATATGACCATTACCAGACTTTTGACATCTACAACCCACTCTTCTCGTTCTTCTCATCCCTAACACTAAGAGTCTCAACATTCTCCGCATCGCCGACCTCACGGCCGCCCACGTACTTGCTCTCCTTCATGTTGTTCATAGCATCTTCCTGAGCATCTGCCTTGCGGAAGGTGAGGTAGAAACCGATACCACCGAACATGGCAACAACAGCAACGGAACCATAGTTCCATACGAGAAGAGGGTCCTCAGACAGACTGACAAAGGCCTGGCCGAGAGCGGCGGAGACAGCGGAGGTGGAGAGGGCAACGGCCTGAATGGTGGACTTCATGTTGTTGGGTGCCTTGGTGTACGCGTACTCGAGCTTGGTGATGGAAGCGAGGATCTCGGACATACCGATCAGACCGTAGGGGAAGGCTTGGACCCAGACGGAGATGTCGGCGTTGCAGTCTTTGCGTTCCTTGCTGAGAGCGTTGATGTTGCTGCCGCAGGGTGACATCTTGTAGATGTAGTATTGGATGACGCAGGCTGACACCATGGCGAATGAGGAAAGAGCGAAACCGGCAGTGATCTTCTTGATGGGCGAGAGGTTGACACCAGCCTTGCGGAGAGCAGGGTAGACGAAGAAGTCCATGATCGGGATAAGGATGACGATGAAGATGGGGTTCAGCTTTGAGACAATGTCGTTGGGTGTCTTTCCGAGGTTCATGGTGTTGGCTTGGGAGACAAGGTTGTTGGTCATCTGGTTGTACGCCAGCCAGTAGAGAGGGTACCACAAGAACACCTTGCAAGCGAGAATACCGCGCTTGACTTCATCAACCCAGGCATCGTCAAAGGTCATCCATTCAGGGACAGCCTGGCCGCTGGCACGAAGAGCAGTAGGCTTGATCCTGTCCCAGAAACCATCGTCCTTGAATGTGTTCTTGCGGGGCGACTGCTTGATACCGAGACCGATGAGCTTGAAAGCCTTGCCCATGACAGATCCAGTGGGTGGCGAGAGCTTGTAGTGCTTCTTCATCGTGATGAGAATGATGGGGCAGAGGAGGTAGCAGATAGTGGGTAGCGTGTAAGAGAGCCAGAAACCGACGAAATGCTGGATGGCGTTAGTGAGGTCACACAATGCAGTCTGATTCGGCACATACCTCTGAGTAAACCATGGCGATGGAACCGCAGATAGATCCGCAGTTGATCAGGAAGTAAAAGTAGATGTAGATACGCGCAGTGGTAGTGGCGGGGTCGACAATCTCCTTCTGTCCATTCTTCCTGACACGGACGTAGGCCTTTTGATCCTTGTACTGTTCGGCGATGAGCGGAGAGATGTTACTCTTGAAACCACCGGTTCCGAAACCCATAACGACGAGACCGACAGCGAAGACACCGATGGCGACATTAGGCTTGACGATAACTGCGGGGATAGCAGACATAATCAGAATAATGTGGCCGATAAGAGCGATAAGGTTAGAGTACTGGATGGTTTTGTAACGTCCCCAGTACTCGTCAGCGAGCCAGGCACCACCGAGAGGCGTGATGTAAGACCAGAACTGGTTAAACATGGTGAGACCGGTGGAGGCACGTTGGCCCATGTCCAGAGCACCGGAACTGACGCCCTTCTTCAAGAAACCAGCACCAGTCGTGGAACCAGGAGGCAATGGCTTTTGGATGAAGTCTGGTAAAAGTCAGTGTATGCCCAGATATACGAGCTATTAATCAACTTACTGACGAAGACAGCGCTGGTACCGTAGTAACTGAAGCGCTCAACGAACTCAACAGCAGCCACAGTCCATGCTTGCCACGGGATGCGACCAGCAACCCTGGGAAGAGTCGCCCACTCCTCCTCCGTAGGGAAGGGACCCAAGAGATTGGTGTTCTCATCGAAAGAACCAGTGGAGCTGGTGTCGAGGGGGATAGGGTCCATAGCAGTGGCGCCCTTGGTGATCTCAAGGGACGCCTTGACATTGGTGTTGGCCGCCATTGTGCTGGAGAGAACTTGAACTAAGTTCAGGTAGAACAAAGGTAACAAGGTACGACCGCGAAATTGAATGCGCGGGCGGTGGAATCAAGTAGACGCAACGGGCGATGAACTTGAGTGCCTGCGGTCCAGACAGGTGTACCATGCCCCTCTTCATATACACCCAAGCAAACTCCAAGACCGAAGCTCTGGACAAGAGTTGCACAAGGGTCGCACGCGACTATCGAGCGTGTCCACTCTCGCCATGGCATTTCGTTCGCTCGGTTCCCGCGTTATCACAGCAACATGCACATAACAGCCATCCAAGACCATGGAACGGCGCCTAGTCCGGTCGGAGGATCATACAAACCAGCCCTTCAGGCATACTGCCGCAGTTAAGCGCGTTGGTTAGAGGCATCCAAGGCCGTGGTAGCCCCAGGATCAGGATAAGATAGGAATGAGCAAAGAACCCGGGCGCCAATACGAGCAACCAGCCTTGCTCCATGGGCGCGGCGGAACGTTCGAAAAAGACGTGCCAAGCTGGGCTAAGCAGGAAAAGATAACGCTCAGGGAAGCTTCCCATGGGGGCGCGCAGGACGCGCCAAGCCAGGATCCATCTCTTGGTCTTGTCACCTCCCCTTCTGGCCCTAGTCACGATTGCGACGCGCCTGAATGGATCTAGGATCTCCGCCCGGATGGTAGCCAAGGCCTTGGACGTAGGGTTATCAGTATAAGCGTTTCATCACGGTTACCTCCTTCTGCAATGGATCACGCGCGAGATGATGGCTGATGGGGCGTGGTTGCGACGGGGCGTTGGAAAGTTGGAGAGGTTGGTGTTGAAGCGGCGGGTATAATTGGTGTTCAGATAAACCTCACGCTATCAATCAAGCACGGACCTGCTAGCGGAAAACTGGCGGAAGGCGTGGCGGAGTGATCACCGCACCAACGAACTTCTTTTGATTTGACATCTATGGGTATCTACTGCCGAGAGGATGGAGGTGGTGACATCCACTGAGGCAAATTACTCGCAGCTGCCAAACACCATTTCCCCAAAACTTTTGCCCTTATCTTTCCATGCTCTCGGTCTCACCGAAATCTCACTTGCCGGAAAAACTCGTCTCACTTCCAATCAGCCGTCCCGAATCAGTTGTAGCCATTTCTGGATCCTGCTGGTGGTCAGTGACATGGGCGTTGTAGAATTGATCTGGTGGGTCTCCGAACCTGGATAGAACTCTTCAGCATCAGGGCGAGGCACGTGAGTGCTCGCACCTGATCCTGAAGCTGGTTGTTGAGGACGTGTTGGATGACCTTGGTGAGATGGTGCTTGTCCTTGTTGACTTCCTGAAGAACCACGACCACGCTGAGCCGGTTGTCCTTGATGATACGAGTAGCCACCTTGCTGTGACGGCATCGCGAAACCGCCGCTTGCTCCAGTCTGCGAAGAGTAGTCTTGGTGGGCGCTATACATCATTTGACTACCAGTCCAGCCACTACCATACTGCTGTCCGGGGTTGGTGAATGGCTGCTGTTGGTAAGGGCTTCCAGGATAGCCACCCATAGCCGGCTGAGCCATGTAAGGATTACCATACCCATACTGATAAGTTGGGTAGCCATACATTCCTTGAGGTGTGTTTGAAGGGAACTGAGATGGCGGCTGTTGTATGTTCGGAGGGGCATTTGGTCCTTGGTTGAAACGACCACCACCGCGGTCCGAACGTCCAACGAAGTCGCCACGAGGCTGCGAAGGCCGACCCCTTCCACGACCGTTTCCGCGACCATTTCCACGACCACGCTCAGCCTGAAGGCTGGCCAGTTCCCTCTCCAGTGTCGCATTCCTAGCTTCAAGCACCGCGACAGCGGTCGAGCGCGCTGGGGCAGCTTCAGCTGGAGATGTGATGGACGGCCTAGTACTAGTATGTCCTGCTCGAGGGAACTCCGGACTCGGGTCGTCTCCCAAGGAATACAGCATGTACGATCCGTGTACAATGGCGTGGCGAATGAAGATACGGAGGCAGTGCAGGCTGCCTCTCTCAGTGACAGGGATGAACTGCGACATTTCCGCCGGTGTTAAGAGCTCTGAGTTGAGGAGGCAGAGGCGGAGACGTTCAATCGTGAACGGGAAGTCTTGGTATTGATCCTGGGGTGTATGCGTCAGTACTTACGATAAGGTGATGGCGGCATGGCTGTTTTATGACCCAGGTGCACTTCACGTATTTTCCCACCGTTGTGTGGCTTGGTGGAAACGCAATGTGTGCTCTTGGGCCGACTGGTGGGGAGTAAGTTGGCGTTCGGGTTACTTACAAGCCAATCTAGGTGTGCCCTTCCGAGGACGACCTGGCGGTTCCACTCCATTGTGGTCTTACGCTCCTCTGGGTAGACGCGCTGAAGGAAGGGAATGAGTTCAGCGTCGACCCAATCTTGGTCGATCGGCGCAGTGGAGGAGTTGAAGACTGCAGGGGGGGTTCGGCCCGTCATTGGAGCAAGAGGGTAGCTTTGAAGGTGGAGAGAAGATTGAGTCAAGTATCAAGTCGAAATGGAGGAAGGTCAAGTATACTTGTATAAAGTCTGTCAAGTCCCGAAGGTGTCGTGTATGGAGAAGAAGAAAGAAGTATACTCCTGACAGTACCGAGAGATTATATACGTACAAACAAGTGAACGACCTGGTAGGTAGCCGCATTGTTTACCTATTTTGCTCACTGCCTCCTTCACTTTGTTCTTTCGACGTCATTCCCGCAGTCACCCGCGCCTTTTTGCTCACTTGACGAGCACGCAATTGCTTGCGTCGGCGCCACGTTAAGTCCGAGCAAACGCAGTCCTTTACTGCAACCACTGCCTCGGTACTTATCTTCGGTTGGGTGAAGGAGAGATTGAGAGATTGGTCCTTCACTTTTGACAATTTTCGCAGTGAGAGGACAATGCAGTCGAGTTTGCATTGCGTTTTCAGAAAGTAGCCGGCATTTGACGAGACACTGTGATAGCAGCAATTAAGGATGTACTTCTTTTGAGATTAGTACTGCGATGATGCGGAGGGGCGAGTGAAGGACAATTCCTGATCTTTCTTACATTCGTACGGAAGGTCATCTCTAGCTAAGAATGTCGGAGGGTTGGTAAAAAACCAGAGTCTATCTGCCATTTCCAGGGATCGTATAATTCATCAATGATACCATGCATACTGAACACAGAGAAACACATATGTCTTAGAGCAATGAGATAATATTGGTATCGAAACTACACTCATAGGAAGACAAACAGCAATCGGAAGAAGAGAAGACCGACTCTAGGAAGAGACCAGGAAAAGAAGACCTAGGTCGAAAGGAAAGAAGATAACCCTGGCCCACCCGATGCGGCCTTTTGCCCTTCATCAGACCCCCAAATCTATCCCTACCTTGCATCAAAGCGCAAAACTCCGTCTCCCCCTCTCGACATCCTCAATCCACTCCCTGAGCACACCCATCCTATCCTCCTCCAGCCCCTCCGCATCCCTTCCCCCATCAACATCCGTTTCCCCTCTCCTTCCCCTCCCCCCAATCATCTCACTCCTCGCAAAACTAACCCTCGACCCATTCCCTTTCAGCTGGCCCAATCTGCCCAACGCACTTGCTTTCTAAGCCCCAGGATTAGGCGTCGTGCTCCTATCCCTCCTGAGTAACCCCCTGCGCTCCGCGGTCTTGGGTCGCGGACTCACGCTGCCAGATGGACTACCTCCGCTCTCACTAGGCGTGAAGCTACTGCGTATCGACACCATACCCTTGCCCACACCAACGTTTTGCTCCGCGCCGCTACCCTGGTCTGAGATGGTGAATTGGGTTTCACCCAACTCCTCGTCTCGGCCGAATTTACTGTGGTCTTTGACGACGAGTTTGAAGAAGGCGTCGGCCGTGCAGTTTGTCTTGAAGCTCTCTTCGGAGGGGTCGAATTGTACGGAGCCTTGGGGCGCTTTGATGTGGTCGGTCTTGTGGATTTCTTTCTTGCCGAGCGAGATGTGCACGCGCAGGTTGGTGCCGGCAGGGAAGCCGTCGGCGGAGAGGACGGTGATGTTGGCGGTGCCTTGTTCGGCGCCGCCGGGGCCGGCGTTGTCGCCGAAGCGGCTGTGGAAGCTTTGAGCGCCCCAGCTGCGGTGGCGGTTGTGGTTGTTGGAGTCTTTTGTGGGGGTGTTGGGCTCGCCTTCGATAGATATCATGGGTGTGTCGGCGGAGGGACGGTCGGATGTGGAGGGGCGTGCGAGATCTTCTTCGTCGGGGGCTTCACCGCGAGACTTTCTGCGCTTGAAACCACGACCTAGGAAGGTACCTGCGCGGACTACGTTACCACCGACAAAGGCCGCTCCTTTACCAACTCCCTTGACGGGCGCGCCAATGACTTTCCCGGGGACAGCAAAGGTGCCGGAGAATGTACTGGAGCCTTGCCGAGATCGAACGACGTAGTCTGGCTTGAACAACATTCTAAGTCGGATGGCGCCTGACTTGCCGTCGAGGGCAAGCGTAACTTCTTGTTGTTGGAAGGGCTCGAGGATTTCCAGGTTGATGGATGATTTGCCGAGGAAGTCGGCCTTGTCACCAAAGTCCCAGTCGTAAACGTTGACAACAAAGTCTGCCGCCGTTCGACTCCGTACAGGTACTTCGAAGTACTCGTTCCATGCCGGGTGGAGCGTCTTCTTCTGCGTCTTGGTCTTGTATACCTCCTTGTCGTTGAGCATAAACTTGCAGTAAGGATCGGAGAAACCGTTGCGGTCCGCAGCTGGGAGATCTGCCGCATCGAGCACATCGACTCGGAGCGTACCCTGGTTGTTGAAGGATTCGCTGGGGTCGAGACGCATCTTGACAGGAATATACTTAAGCATAACCGTAATCTTGTTGTCGCGTCCGTTCTTGTCCTTGAGCGTGAATTGAGTGGGCGTGTGCAGAGATCTTCGTAGCGTATCGATCGTGTTTCCTGTCAGCTTAGCAATGACGTGATCTCCGTGATCGTCGCCGTCGTTGTCAATGTGCTCGATGATACGGAGGGTGATCTTGGAGAAGTCGAGCTCGCGAATCATCGTGTCGCCAACTGCATCCCGTTAGCTTGGTACGTCTTGAAAGACTTGACATAACCCACCATCGTTGAAAGTCATCTTGTTGCTCCGGATCTTCGTGCTAGAATAGCTGGCATACGCCATGTCATCCATAATAACATCGACGTGGCCACCAGTCCTTGCGAATTCACCTTCAATGAGCTTGAACACAAGCAGACCAGATTCTACATCACGTTAGCCAAGACTCGTAAATATGATGTAAGAATACGGGGTCAGGTTGCAGGTCAGGGTGAACCAACTGAGCAAGCCAAACTCCACTGTATCCTCATAGTCGGCATGCGACCTACCATACTGCTGCAGATCGTCCGCAGTAAGCTTCAGCTTCTCGATCTTCGGCTTCTCGGGAATCGACTCTGCTTGCTGGAGTTCGTTCTTCTCGAGCTCCTTGGCCATGTCCTTCTCGTTCGACTTGAGCGATGAGATGGTACCTGCGGTCTCTGACCTGGCAATGGTAGAAGCGTTGGATACAACACGTTGGTGGCTGAGCTTAGATCCGTTGGACACAGGCCGGGCGGCGCCGTTGGATTTAGTCTCCTCCTCTTCTTCCTCGTCCTCTTCGGGGTCCCATGTGGGGTATGTAGGGTAGAAGGAGCAGGTGTAGTTGAGAGTGCCCTTGGGCTGAGAAGAACCAGCCAGTCGGAGAGCTCCGGCGGTAGGCTGCTTCTGTTCATGTTCGAGGTACTCGCCATTCTCGTTTTGTTGGATATAGTCGCCAGCCGAAAGCTCGATATGTCCTAGGGGACGATCCTTGCCAAGATTCTCCTCGTCCATGACCTCCAGTGTAAGCTTCTCGCGTACAGTGTGAACAGGAACATAGACAACCTCATCCCAGTCAGGGTCGAGGTTGTTCTTGAAAACCACAGTCCGGCCCTTCTCAATACCAGAGAGTAGCACACGGACGTACGGATCTGACTTGCCCAGGGCTTCGAGGTTACGAAGTCCGCGCGCGCTCTGGAAGTGTAGTCGCATCACACCGATGGGAGTAAGATAACCACTGGAAGAGACTGCACCCTTTAGAGCAACGGGCTTCCAATCAAGCTTCATCTTCACGCGACCACTCGATGTACCTGCGAGGTTGTACCACTCATGACCCTTGGCCATGAGTTCAAGCATGTCGTCCATCGTGATTTGGTAGGTACCAAGAATGGGGTCAGCTGCGAGGTCGCGGTCGTCCTTGATGACTAGACCGAGCTTAGCCTTCTTGCGGTCTGTGATGAGCATTTCCTTTGTTGCGTCTGGCCAGATAGGTTGGTTTGTCCTCTTCATGACCCGGGACTTGTGAATCTCATGGCCGTTAAGGAGGAGGACGGCGTATGGGCTAAGCTGCCCAATCATGCTCTTGCTACCGTCCATATCCTTAGCCTGCTCAACAGTGAACTTGCAAATACCCGTGCGCGACTCTGGTGGAGGCTCCTTGGTGCCGTCTTCCAGCGTAGTGCCTTCAAGAACAGGGAAGAAGCGTACATCCGCTGTCACGAGACCACGGGCGCGACCTCCTGACATGACCTCTAGTTGCATGTTCTCGTGGTCAGGGTCCTCCTCTAGCTGTTCTAGCGCAAAGGTAGCGGTACCGAGCTCCTTGTCCTTGCGAATGTCGTTGTAATCGAAGAGATTGATAGTAAGCGAATCCTTCAGGGAAGTTACGATGATGTTGACAGTCTCATTCCAGCGAGGATTGGCACTCTCGTGCACCGTCTTGGTACGTGCAAGCACGTTGCGGTTGTTGATGGAGACCGTGGCATAGGGATCAGGAGTACCAGAGAACTTGTCGGGGTTCTTGAGGCCTTGAGCACCGTGGAAGTGGACTTGCAGAACACCGATAGCTTGGTCGACAGGGTTGCCCGCAAGCATCTTGGCGATTTCGATGGGGAACACATTGGGGTCGTACATCATCGGGCCCAGGTTGGCGTGGATCTGCTCCATGATGAAAGTCTCCAATCCGGGGATGAAGTTGATGTCGAAACCAAAGGTCTCTCCACCCAAAGGCTTGCAAACATAGTCGATAGTTGGGCGCTCGAGGAAAGACATCTCGACCTTCTCGATGTGGGGGAACGGCAGCTGCAGCTTGAACTTTAGGCGCATCAGACCGGAAAAGGCCATGTCTTCCACGATAACATCCAGACCCTTGCTGACAAGGCCCTTTCCGATGCGGATCTCCAGGACGATCTTCGGGTTGATCTTGTTCTTGATTTGCCTCGCGGTAAGATCAGCGACGTCGTTGGGCGTGAAGCTAAACTTCCAGTCCATAAGAACGATGTCGTCCTGCGTCTTCGGGTACGTCTTCACATGCTCCAATCGCGGGGGCTTCGTTCCGAGGACGAAGGTCTTCATCTTCAGACTGTCCAAAAATGCCGGGGTCGACGTCGAGAGAACCTGGTCCACGGTGCCGACAATGGTGTCACAC